TTTGACATAACTTATAATAGCTGCTGAACAAATGAGAAGATTATTCCTTTCCTGAACTGCAAGACTATATGATGATGGAAGAAATGCCTGTGTGAGGCTAAGATCTATGGACACTTCAAAGCATTATGAATATTGTAGTCTCCCTTCCCTTTATGTTCCATACAGGGTGCCACTCAGGAAATGAGGACACCCATAATGCTTTGCACTGCCTACCGAGTGTAGGCCCACCATGCCCATTGAGCCATCATCATATAACCCAGCAGCTCAGAAATGGAGTGATCTTTTCTCATTTATTCAGCAGTGGTTGTAAGCCATTTCAAATACACAAGACAATGTTCTTGTGAGGGCTAAAGCCCCTAGAATTCTGGCTAGGGCAATTCCAGCAGATGTCTAGGTGTTGCAATCCCCAAAATATAAAAATGCACATCACTAGCTATGATCTTACCTGGATAAAACTAACCTTACAATAGTTACTAGTGCACTGGCAACCTCTTGCCTAGATTACTGCAGTGCATTCTGTATGGGGCTACCTTTGAAGAAATGCTTTTCGTGCAAAACAAAGCAGGGAGGCTGTTCACTGGAACTGATTATCTCAAATTAATTTTTCCAATGGTGTGTCAACCAGTTAGTTTCCTAGCCTGATCCAAAGTGTTGGTGTTGACTTTTGAAGTTCTAAACAGTTTTCAACCAGTCAACATGGAGTGGCTTCTCCCAGACTTCCCATCCAGATAGTTAAGATCATTATTGGAGGCTTTTGTTTGGGTACATCCACAATGACCTGACAGGTACTAGAGAGGCAGCATGCTCTTTTGTGTCCTTCTTTGCATAATCACGTTGCATATTTATGTATATACGCTAATACCATCTTTTTCTGGTAGGCATGTAATATGTACTTAGTTTCTTTCTTAGCAATTTTATTAATAGTTGAATATTGTAATATTGACAATGGCTGTTTTAATGTTTGGGTTGTTGACTATATTCAGAGAATCACAGCATCATAAAGTTGGAAACGGCCTATAAGGCCATCAAGTCCAACTCCCTGCTCAATATAGTAATACAAATAAAAAGATATCTGGAAGGTGATTGTTTAAATTTCTCTTGAATGCTTCCAGTGTTGGAGCACTTGCCACCTCTCGAGATAATTGGTTCCATTGTCATACTGCTCTAAAAACGAAGTTTTTCCTGATGGTCTTCTGAAATCTGGCATCCTGTAACTTGAGCCCATTGTCGCATGTCCTGCACTTGGAGATGATTGAGAACTTATTCTGCTTCTCCTCTATATGATGGCCTTTCAAGTACTTGAAAAGTGCAGTCATGTTTCCCCTCAGGTTTCTTTTCTCAAGGCTAAATACTGTATGTCCAGTTCTTTCAGTCATTCCTCATAAGAAAGGAAAGGCCTGGTTTCCAGCACCCTGATTATCCTTTCTGCGCTCCTCTGAACTTGTTCCAACTTGTAAACATCCTTCTTGAAGTGTGGTGTCCAGAAGTGGACACAGTACTCAAGGTGAGTGAAGCCTAGTCAGTTCTGAAGAGAGGGGAACTGGTACCTCATGGGATTTGGAAACTATACTTCTGTTAATGCAGCCTAAAATAGAATTTGCCTTTTTTATATCCACATCACACTGCTGGATCATATTAAGCTTGTGATCTACAGCGATTCCAAGATCCTTCATGCTTTTAGTATTGCTGAACCAGGTATCTCCCATCTTGCAACTTTGTGTTTGGTTTCTTTTTCCTAGGTGCAGTACTGTGCATTTATCCCTGCTGAATTTCATTCTATTGTTTTCAGTCCAGTGCTCAAATCTATCTAGAACATTTTGAATTTTGTTTCTGTCTTCCAGAGTATTAGCTATTCCACTCAAATCTGTGTCATCTGCAAATTTGATTAGCATTCCCTGCAGCCCCTGATCCAGGTCATTAATAAAAGTGTTGAAAGTACTGGGGCCAAGATTGAGCCCCGGGGTACCCCATATTGTATTTTTGTAATAATAAATGAGGGGAAGTTACTTTTTTTGGACCACAATTCCATTAATCTTATAATAGTCATTTATACTTGCAGTGTGGGGGAGTCAGGGGAGAGTGGTAGAAGTAGAGAGGGAGAATGTATAGATGAATCATTTAAGGCTATTATGAGAAAAACCAGTCTCATAATCTTGAGGGCATAATTAGACAGGAGTAGGACCCATTTATGATCTTTACAGTTCTGTAAAAGTACAAATACAGGGGTGGGGGTAAAGATTAACATCAGGGAATTTTCATGGTTAATTACTTCTCATATAGTATGAATAAGATTCTTATATGGAATCTGATTCTGTATTTGGGTCTATAACTATCATATTCAATTTGGCCCAGAGAAAAACAGGAAAAATGACAATGCAAGTTTCTTAGCTGATCAGATATTGATTCAGATAAGGCTGTCGTTAAAATTAAGAAGCTTTTTTTGTGGGTGTTAAACATCTATTGTTTGAACTACTGTATTAAAATGGTACAGTACTTTGTTTTCATCTTTGTACCTGTACGATGACACACGGGACTTTACAGTTTGAGGAGTTTCCAAAAATGCTTCCTTGAAAAGTGACATTATGTGTTCTAGGGCAGCCATTCTCAACCTTTTTTGGCCACATTCATAAACACAATATTAAAGAAATATAGGCAGAATATTTCTTCTTCTTCTTCTTCTTCTTCTTCTTCTTCTTCTTCTTCTTCTTCTTCTTCTTCTTCTTATTATTATTATTATTATTATTATTATTATGAGATTGTATAAGTCGCATAATGAAAGGCCCCCCAGGGCACCATATGTGATCAGCTGAGAATGGCTGTTCCAGGGTATATTTTACCACATCTGTCTTTCTTTCTTTCTTTCTTTCTTTCTTTCTTTCTTTCTTTCTTTCTTTCTTTCTTTCTTTCTTTCTTTCTTTCTTTCTTTCTTTTACCTCCCCATTAGTGCAAAACCACTATTTGGGTGGTTGAACAGCAAGTTAAAATCAGTACCAAAAACAAACAGGCACTTAAAAATATTTGTATCAGAACCCAATGACACCAAAGCAATTTACAAAGCTAGTGTGACAAAAGTTGCAGTCCTTTGCCGTGTTCTTAAGGGTAGATGCAGTTCTTTCTTGAGAGCAAGTTACTTCGGGACTTATTTTGAATAAATGTATCTATAGATAGGCTACACTAGGCACATGTATAGAGTGAAAAATCAATGTGGTTTAACCACCAGACATTCATCAACACACACTTCTATCTCCCTTTTTCTCCAATGAGCTTAGAGTGGTTTACACTGCTCTCCTCCTCCTCCTCCTCTTTTTATCCTCACAACAGTTCTGTGATGAACTGAAGTTCATGCAGGCTTGGTTTTGCAGACAAAAAACTCATCTAAAAAGTCTCAGTACAACACATTACGGTAATTGCTATGCACATAACAATGTCTATCTTTGAACAATTCATTGTCAAACAGGAATCACCAAAACAGAAATATATTCAACATTTATTTTCCATTTAATAGTCACTGCTGTGGTGAGAAACTGGCTGGATAGCTCAGTGGTTTAGGTATCTGGCTGCAGAGCAAGGATTTTGATATAACCTAAGCCTGAGACCGAGCAGTTCTGAATACTACCCCCAAAGTTATTTGAAAGTAAACACCAATTGGCTGACAATTTTTTCAAGAGACCAATAGCTTTTTTTCCTGAAAAGGTGGAAACTATGGTTTGAAAAATTCTAACAAGACCAAAAGATACAGTTTTCCCTGATTCCACATAGAAGGTATAATGTCTTTATAATGCAATAATTAAAAGGGGGAGGGAAAAAAACAATTATGGCAGTCTTATCTGGACGTTGCAGCTGTACTCCCTCATTTTATGTTAGCAGTGCGTGTTGGAAGGTTATGACAAAGCGTGAAAATTGCATCTTAAGAGGAGTTTTATTTCTTTTCCTATGATTTGATTGAAACAGACAGCTACATTTTGTGTATATATAATTAGGCAGTAAAATAGTCTTTGAAGGCAGATCTCTGTTTAGTATGTGAGTCACACATACAACAGGCTTTCATTCAACAGCCAGAGACTGATCATTTTAATGCCTCAACTCGCTCAACCTGTTTTTGGAAGGCTATATCCTGTGGAAGAAAGAGGGGGGAAACTAGAAAATATAGAATACGTAATTTGTTTTGGTCAAATTTCTCTGTCCCCAGCAAAACTAGAAATCATTTGAGTCTTGTCTGGGATTATTTATACATACAGCGCCACACTGGCTTCCCCTCCCCCACCCCATTCCCTGATGGTTGGCCAGTGTGGCAACGAATGTCACACCAGTTCTAGGGAATTCTAATCCCTCCTCATAAAAGGCTATTGTACCAGTAAAACTGAGACCAATGGTGTTTTAATTCACCATCTCTTGGCACTCCAAACTAATAGCTCTGGCTCCCCCCCAATGCTTCTTTTTCCTTCTTGTTCCTTTCTGAGGCACAGCTCCCCCCTTTTAAAAACAATAAACCAAGGAGAACTTTTAAAGTCTTAGTTGAGTCACATTGTTCAGCAGATTGTCATAGGCTTTCAAGAAATCATCCACAAAACTACGTGCTATCCACGTGCTATCATGGAATGTGTGTTTCACCTATTTATTCTGTCAGCAAAATATTTTCATACTACTGCTGACAGAAAGAAACAAAAAAAAAAACCATGCTCACTAAGGAGTGCTTCAGCCTGTTTGTCCTAATGCCTCTTAAATGCACACTTCTCCCTGTTTTCTTCTTTGTTCTCAAGTTGACAATGCACATGGTAATTTCTGTGATATGTGTCTATTTCATACATACAGGTGGCGGAATTGTGGCAGCTTTAGGAACAAGACCTTGGAAGGACCTTGAATGATTTACACACATCCATTTGCTCCTAGAGATGGGAAAAGATACTTTTTTGGACAGTGGCTCTCAGAATATCCCAGGCAGCATGACTGTGTGAGGAGTTTTGCTTCTAGAAAAGTACTTTTCCTATTGTATGCTTGCCATGCATACAGTGCCAGTAGAGCTGGCCAGGAAGTTTTTCAGCATGAAAAGGAACAATAAATTGGACTCCTTTCAAGTTTCCATGTCAGCAGCATCTCAGTCCTTGAGAATTCAGGGCCCAAACCTGAAATCGGCATGGTTTGTGATGTGTCACAGAGCTGGGGACAAGGAAGACTTGGAACAAGGGGGAAGGTAAGTTTCTGGATTAGCAGAATGTGGACATGGGCATAATGTGGCCTACTGCTAGGTTGGCAGGAGGTCCATTCTCTTAACTTGCTCCAAACGTCACAAAGAGTGATGTGCAGGCACACACTGGTTGTCTCCTTGATACCTACCCTTTATTCCTATTTTTTCATGCAGCGGCATGGCACAAGCGCAACACAAAGAACCAGTGAGCCCTGATCCCAACTGAGAATAGGCAAGCCCTGATCCCAACTGAGAATAGGCAGAGGCAGGAGGTCCATTCTCTTAACTTGCTCCAAACGTCACAAAGAGTGATGTGCAGGCACACACTGGTTGTCTCCTTGATACCTACCCTTTATTCCTATTTTTTCATGCAGCGGCATGGCACAAGCGCAACACAAAGAACCAGTGAGCCCTGATCCCAACTGAGAATAGGCAAGCCCTGATCCCAACTGAGAATAGGCAGAGATGGTTGCCCAGTCTTCAAAGAAGCGATGGGCACAAACTGACAGTTCATAGGTTCATGCTGGTCTGTTTATCAGCTGAACAGATTTTCGGCACTTCAAAGCTCCCCCCCCTCCAGTGGGTGTGCACTTGAAGGCAGTGGCCTGGCTTCCCTGTCCTATCTCCTCTGAATGCTGCCTCTGAGTGGGGCTATTCAGTCACTAAACAAGCTGGACCAAATCACGAATTCATGCCCATCTCTACTTCAAAGCCATCTTGCATACAAAAATTACATCCCTTTTCCTCTCTTACAGTTCACGTTAAGATTTGTCTTGTCACTTGGAAAGCTGAGGAAGCACAACATTTTTCAGAAACCAGATCATATCCTGAGAGCAGGCAAATGTGGCCTAATTTCCATCATCAGGCAAAGACCTTCCTTTTCAGGCAGGCTTTAAAGCAATGTGGGGCAAGTAGAGGATACTCTAACTTTTGTAATTTAGACATTTTTGAATGTTTTAAAAATGTTTTTAATTTTTTTAAAATTTTAACATATTTGAATGTTTTTTAATATGTTGTTTTGTATGGTATTTTAACTTGTTATTTTTTCTATGATTTTAATTGTTATGAGCCACCTTGGACCCCCTATGAGGAGAAAGGCAACATATAAATAATATTTAAAAAAAACCCTACCTGTCCATGTCAAAGGTACACAGTAAGCAAAGAAAATTTTGGTGCTTGAAGCAGGAAACCCAACAAATACTACTCCTCATTCCTAGCAACAAAAATCAAGATATTCAGCCTTTAAGCATTTGCTATTTTATCCTGACACTGCAAAAGAGTTGATGGAAACAACCACCTTAATCTCTCTAATCATAAAGCCACAGCTCTGGACTCCACGTTTCTTTTTCCCACACCACCAAAACCCTCCAGAATTTGAAGCAACATGAGGAAAATGGATAAATCTCTTGACACACACAGAGAAGGCAGCCTTGGTGACAGGGTGGGCAGTGTGTGTGCCTCAACAGGTGTTGGTTGACTACTATTCTCATCATCCTTAGCCACTTCCCATGCTGGCAGGGGCTGATGGACACTGGAATCTCAAAGTGTCTACTCTATTCCTCCACCACCACTCATTGTTTTCACTTCTCTGATGTGCTTCCTCTGTGTGGTTCGTTCCCTCTTTCTCTTTAAGGCTTCCATGTGCATGTGTCTGTGTGTGCTCACATGCATAAATGCACATGCACGCATGCACGCACACACACATACACACACACTTGTGTATTTATTTTGATTCTGTAAGAGAATATATTTATTTTACCCACAAAGCACAAATATTATGATTTATTTAAATTTATTTATTTATGATTTAAAATGTCCTTATCCTGCCTTTCTCCTTAAAGCGACTCAAGGCGGTTTACATCATTAAAAGCCAATATAAAAGCTAACAAGAGTCAGTGTACAAATACTAAAAAGGATAAAACAAATACTATACAAAAAAAACATTAGCAACACCAAAACACATTCAAAGCAGTAAGCTATAACAATCCATTTCAAAAAAACCCACCCAGGCAACCAGTCACTGACGTTGCATGGTTAATTCATTTTATGAAAATGAATTTCAACAATAAATGTTATTATTTATAGTTTCAGCTCAACAGTTAGTTTTACATTATCATCACATCTGATCATTAGTTAATTGTAAAAGCGAAAACAAAACAAAAACAAAAATATTGTGGCATATTTAGGAGTATTGGATGCTTCTGCCATTTTTCTGGCCTGCTTGTCAGAATAATATAATATGCTAATAATGCACATACCACATTGTTACTTGTGGGCTCACAGTAACAACAAAAATAACAACTTAGGTCCCAAGAAGTAATGAAAAAAGAAGTTCCTTTCAAAAGATAAAGTTTCAAGCTCTTGTATTTGGCCTAAGATGGAGGAAACTTATTTATTTATAACTGGATTAAACGGAACACGTTAAAATTTAACCAGCTAAGGAAAAAAAAACATACTTCCAAATAAGGCTAATAAAATTGTGTTTTTTATTTTTGAAAGAAACCTAATATCTAGATAGAGTATCCATTGATACAACAGCATGCATAATTTATGTTAATAAACTGTGGGCACATCAACTAGAGACAGCCCTTCTTTCAAAACTGGAGTGCAAGAAATTGTCAAGCTGCATTTGATTAGTGTTCAGTTTTGTCCTTTCAGTTTTTTCCCCTTCTAAAAGGAAGACACAAAAGAACAGAATAGAATAAGCTGAGCAAATTAGACTAGCTTGTATAAAGAAAAGGTTAAACATAAACATGAAATGTGCTTTCTGCAGGGTTATGTTGCTAAAACCAGTTGTACAAATGAACACACCTGTAGCTGTTCCTTTCAGTATACCATACAAATTCGAGAACTATACAATTTTGCCATCAGTTGAAACACTGATCATTTAATGCTGGTGATGGCTTGCATATTGATGTAGGCATCTGAAACTGGAATGAATGGCAGAAGTAGACGTCTTTGCTCCCTCCTCCACATGACAGCTTCTCCAGCTCCTGGGACAGGGGATTCTGCTAAATGGGGTTGTGCGGAGGAGGAGAGAGATTCTGAAAATCCATTTTGGGCACTCAAGCCTAAAAAGGTTTGCCTCCACTGTTCTAGGGGCCTCCATGTTTTCTCCTTGGAAGTTATCTGGGAAAGCAAAAGGACAGCCTTCGCAAATTTTGCTCCAAAATCTCTGCCTCTTGGTTTACGTAGTAAACACATAGAGCTCACTTATCCCCACAGCACCAATACAGACTATGGTTGACCCTATGCGAAATCCCTTTGGGCCAGTGGGGTGGAGATGGAAATGGACCCTGAAAGGCCATTTCCATCCATGTCGTTCTCTTTTAATCAGTCTACATGGCTCTCAGGGTTCTAAAATCTCTTCCTATTAGCCATCAACTGTTTGCAGAGTGACTGTGGGATGCTCTTTAGCCAATCCCAAGGCATGTGTGTGTTACATTGTAAGGGTTTTGTTTCCAAGGTGCACCTTGTCATTTCTGGGACCGCAAACCACGTTGTTTCCAGTCTGATACATAATGGTCCAATTTCCGGTTCTGCAGTATACTGGAGGATGGGCTTGTCCACTTCTGGGGAGCATTTCCAGTCATGTGGCACAAATGATACCCTTCCAATCATGGGGAACAACAAAACACATTATTTCCAGTCATGTGCAGTTTGTTTAGGTCACATGGACATGCACATGGCCCTTTGCGACATCAAATCCAGCCATACTGTGACGTCACATTCTCCATGTACAGTCTGTTTACACCATGTGACAGGTAGTAGAGCAGCCCTGACAGTTGCTTTGTATTTGAGTGAGAAATGATGAACTGATGGAAAAAGGAGGCAGCTTTGGGGAGTTCCCCTTAAGTGGCTTCACTTTGCGAATGGTAGTGAGTAAAAGAGTGTATCCTGTAGGCCATCTTGACTGCTGCCATTTGGTATCAACATTCAGGCTGCCCTTTGCTACATAAAGCTTGGCATCCTTTTTCCTGTTGACAACTCAGGAGTGATATTGTACAGCAATATCAGGCCATTTCCTTGAATTCTGAATCATGGATACAGGAAACACAATATCCCACGTTCATAAACTGGATGGTTTTTGAAAAACTAAATACTGTATATGTTAAGTATGTTAAGTGATAGATGAAGCATAAATGTCAGAGACTAGGGATAAAGGAAACAACTTTTGAAATGGAAATGATAGAGTGAGGATCAGTAAACAGAAAATTCTTCTTGGGAGACAGGAGGAAAAGCCTTTTTATTTTTTACATTTTTCTGTCTTACTCTTTTTTTTTTAACCTTTTTCTGCCCTACCTCTTTCATGAAAATAAGAATAGAATTTTGTCTTAAAGAATAACATCTTGACTTGAAGTGATGCTAATCTTCCGCATGAAACTAAGCTTTCAAGCAGAGTGCATTAACCGAACTTGTTCTTTGTTTCATCGTTTAAAACAAAAGAGAAGTATTATACATAGGAAGCTGTCTTTTACTGAGTTATACCATTGGATACTCAGGTTGTGTGAAGGAAATATGATGCCCTCAAGATGATTGGGACTAAATTTCCCAACAGTCCCTATCAGTTTGGCTAGTAATCAGGGACTGTGGCATCTACACTCTGCATCATTTTGAGGACACCAGATTGCCTACCAGATCAACAGCCAGCAGCACTTCAAGATTTCAGCCAAATTTGGGAATATCAAAAGTGAAGACTTTAGTATTTCCATCTCTTTACACTCAAAGCAAAGTTCAGTTCCACTTGGAAACAACATGTTCATACAGAGAAGGTTCGTACAAAGCAACAAATATGAAAAGGGATGGCCCACAAGATTCTTTTAAATGAGCCAGGATACTATAGAAATATGACTAGATTGTTTTCAAAGGTATGAGAATCAATCAGAAGGCATAAAATATTTTTACTTCAATAACTGTCTGTTCTGTATCATTTTCTTATAAGATTTTATAAGATGTAAACTCTTTATAGAATATAGCACTTGGCTAGACGGCGAAGTTGGAGTGGG